TATTTTCCCACTAGATGCTGAGTGTTTGCATACTTTAGGTTATTCATTCCTCACTTACTAGCTGACAGAGCCAATAAGCAATGCAACAAAGATTCAAAGAGAATACTGGCTCTAAGCTCTGTGGGTCCCCAATCACCAGGAGACATGGCCCCTGGTCAGTACTCTGTGCCTTTACTATCAGCTCAACCACATTACCTAGTAACAGTGAGACAAGTTTTCTCATGTGACTTGCAAATGGTAAAAGCTAGTCTCTCATATTTTTATGAGAATTGCATGATATAAAATCAAATACCATCCAGCATGTAGAAGCCACTTAACAAATTTTAGTCCTCTTCCTTATAAATAAAACATTTGGAATTCTTGAGCTTCTTACTTCGTCCCAAGTGTCTCCCTCCATCCTGCTTTCCAAATGTTCTACTCAAAAATATGTAAATAGGAGGATGCTCTTTACAGCCCCTGAAAACCTTCATCTCAATTCTTTCTTCCAATGTGAATTCAAAGGCACAAAGGTAAGCTTTCAATCTGTGGGCCCTGATTCATTGGTGGGTCATAATATTCATTTCCTGGGCTACAACCAGAATTTTTTAAAAAATAAAGTGGAATACAAAGAAAACCAAGTAGATTTGAAGTACCAGTTTTTTACACGCTGATGGGTAAGAGAAAATTTCATTTTGTGCAGCTCTCAATTTCTTTTCATCTGTGCACACCATTTTTCAACTTAATTGTTATTTCAACTCACTGGTGGTTTCTTGGAGACTAAGTGTCACAATCAAGGGATGCTTAAGGAACTTCTTTTGTAAACTAAGCTAATGTAAGTTGATAATCTTATTTTAACTTGATTCAGAAGTTGCCTAAATCTTTTTAGCAGTACTAATCCACCTGTGATGGAGTTTCAGATCCAAAATTAATTTACCGGCAACCACAGTGGCTCAGTGGTTTAGCGCTGCCTTCGGCCAGGGGTGTGATCCTGGAGACCCGGGATCAAGTCCCACATCGGGCTCCCTGCATTGGCCTGCTTCTCCCTCTGCCTGTGTCTCTGCCTCTCTCTCTCTCTCTCTCTCTCTCTGTATTTGTCATGAATAAATAAAATCTTTAAACAAATTAATTTACCAAAGAATTGGAATCCAAAGGCCCAGGAAGATGGATGTCTGGCTTCTCCTTTACTGATTTTTGGTGTAGTTCTTGTCGATAGCTCCTGTCACTTCATCCTCAGTGTTCTTCAATGAACTCAAGATGGCTTTATACTTTGATGGACTTGATAAAGGTGCTATGACAACCCAGCACAGGTGTCTTTTTAAGTGGTGCTTTAAGACTCACAACCATCAAGTTTCATGAAGAAAAAGTCCATGTTTCTCTCAGTCAACCCACACCCTCACCCCACTCCCATATTCGTTCTACACTCTCAAAGCCCAGCGCATGCCTGGTATGGTATGAGACCACATTCATCTATATTGAATGAATTAACAGTAAGCCCAGCTCCAAATGGCAAAGCAAAATGATGATTGCCCCCAATATTCTGATCCATTTAGCTACCTAAGTGTGTGTCTTATTCACTTGAAGACTGAAGAACTCAGCCAACATTTTCTCTGCCAGAAATAGCCTTAATGGTGCAAGAACAAGTGAAATGACACCACAAGGAAGCAATCTGTCAAATCGGTAGTGTGGGACGTTTCTACAGAACAAAAATCTGAAGATCACCAACAGCTCTATGCCATACAATTTAAAAAGAAGAAGGGGAAGAAGGAGAGGAAGGAAAGAGTTGTAGAACAAAAGAGATTATGGATAAAAACAACTAGTGCAAAGACTAGACTTTCCTTGGACTCTGAACAATCAAAAGACATAGTGAGTGAATCTGGGAGAGACAAGTATGGGCTGGGTATTAGATAATTTTAAGGAATTCTCATTAATTTTGTTAGGTGTGACATTGACACAGTGATTATGGTAAAAGTAGAAAGCCCTTATCAGTCAGCAAAGCATACAGAACTGTCTCCTGGGAAAAAGACTCAACATCTTTACTTGTTTTAATTTTTTTTTCTTTCTTTACTTGTTTTTAAATCTCTAGTAAAGATTTGTACATGTGAGGGGCATTCAATAATAGAAGATTGGTCAGATGTTGATTATTGTCACAGTTAAGGATAGATACACAGACGTCCCATATACTATTAGCTCTACATTTGCATTCACTTAAAAATTTCCATAAGTAAAAGTTAAATGTAGGCAGCCCCAGCGGAGCAGAGATGACAATGTAAACCTTCAAGACTATAATTTCATGCTCCCTTGTATAGCCATATACCAGGGGGACCCAAGACAGCATTTACTGGGTTTTGTGCACTGACTTTGAACACTTTCCAAATGTGATAATCTGGTGCTCATTATTATTTTTTTTTAGATAGGAGATCATATGCACTGTTAGAAGCATCAAAACTTCATTCTATTCATCTTGAGCACAATATTCCTCCCAGTACAGCTTTTTCCTTGAAAGAGGAGGAGGGCAGACAGAGGCTGGGGTGAGAGGTCGGGAAGGAGAAACAACCAGTGAGTTTTCCACTTTCGCGAGAATGGCAAGATCCTTGGGGAGACAGTAAATTGAAATTAAGGCTGTCTCAGGCAGCCTACAGGATGTGCCTGCAAATGTAGACATATCCAAATGGTGAAAAAGTCTGTTTGTGCCCATTCATATGAAGTGAATGCCTTGTAATGTGCTCCAGCCCCTGGGAATGGTGGCTGGATTTCAGGAACGGAGGCCGGAAGAATGGGATGGATTTGACATAAGTACTTTTAAGTGCTCTGAAGCCTGGGCTCCTCCCTGTGGTTTAATAGCAAGGTCCACTGGGAGCTACAAGGAAGGAGCCTAGTGAATCCCTACAGCTTTTCGTTTTAAGGATAACAAATCTTAAAACAGGTGTGAGCTCAGAAAGATCCTTTTACTTCTTGTTTTTGGGCTGTTGTGGCCAGCCGGCTCTCTGTGTATTATTATCATTCCACAGAACGAAGTCTGGGGTGAGGGAAGGGAGGAGAGGTAAGAGAAGCTGAATAAACAAAAATTGCTTCGAGTGACTAATATTCATTAAGTCCACTGGTCATGCGCTATGAAATTTATTAAACTGTGGTTTCCAAGAGAATGTATTAGTGGAGCTAATGAACACAAATAAAAAAGAGGCCTCCAGGAAATGGCTTCCTGGGTCTGGATGAGGCTGCTGAGTAATGTGACAAGAGATTATAACGTTAAAAGCTTCTATTATAGTCTAGAAGGCTGATTATTGGAAGGGGTTGCCCTCCATGGGGGAGGGAAGATACGAGGGAGACTACAAGTCTGACTCTCCTGAAAAAGGGGCCTAATGCTTTTCATTTATATTCATTAAGGAAGGAGGCTTTGTGCTGAAGGCCTCTGAACCTCTGCGCTGCCATCTGGTGGAGAAGGGACTTGAGAGGCCATAGAGGACAGACAACAACCGCCATCTTTAAGATGTCAGGAATCTGCAGGTTGGCTTTACTGTTTCCCAAGTAGTAGCAGTGGAAACCCTTTGTGACTATGGCATCGGGAGCAAAAACTAACACCCACAAAGTAACCAGTATATGTAATCTGATTTAAATACTGTATGACGAGAGCTCAGCTCTCCCATTCTGCTGTCCTTTTCCATCAGGACCTTAGCAATGAATATCAATGTGGTCCTACCTGCAGTACTGGGCTGAGGTGTGACCCATCCTGAGGACATTTGTTTCATAACCTAGTTCTGTTTCTCCCATCAGAAACCTGGAGATAGGTCATCCTGGACTCTCCTCTTTCTGCTACCCCTGTCATCCAACCGTGGCCTCTCTAGTCACCATATCCCAGGACCACTTCTTACCATGTACACTGCTGCCACCCTGATCTGAGTCATTGGTGTCTTTCTCCCAGGTGATTGCAAAATAGCCTCCAAACTGTGCTCCTGGCTTCCAACCTTGCAGTCCACAGCCTGTTCTCCAGCAGCAGCCAAATGAACCATTAGAACAGGCTAGATCATCTCACTTCTCTGCTCAAAACCTACCCGGCGCCCTTAAGCTCACTCAGAGTAAAATTGGAAGTCATATGATGTGTTTCAGGCTTTAATGGATCTGACCCAGCTTCCTCTAACTTCGTCTCTTATGCTCTCCACTCACTCAGTCTGGTCCAACCACATTGGCCTCTTTGCCAGTCCTCAAAGAGGCCACACATCCCTGACTCAGCACCCTCCTCCTGGAAAGCGTTCCCCAGACATTGGCATGGCTCTCCTTCTCCCATTCTCCCGGGTCTCCTGCCAAAGTTACCTTCCTGAGGAGGCCTTCCACGACCACCCCACATAAAATAATACCTCTTCCTCTTCCTTCAGCGTTTTTATTTCTTTTCTTTGACTTATTGTATTAGCAGCATTCAGCACCTCCTGAAATGTTAAATATTTATGTGCTTGTGTCCTTTTTTTCATCTTCCCCAAATCCCCTACAATGGAATACAAGTTCCATGGAATTAGGGGCCTTGGAGGGAATATAGTATTTTTTTTAAATTTTCTTATTGGAGTTCAATTTGCCAACATATAGCATAACACCCAGTGCTCATCCCATCAAGTGCCCCCCTCGGTGCCCATCACCCAGTCACCCCAACCCCCTGCCCACCTCCCTTCCCACTACTGGAAGGAGCCTCGGTGTCCATCAAAAGATGAATGGATAAAGAAGATGTGGTATATGTATACATGGAATATTACTCAGCCATTAGAAATGACAAATACCCACCATTTGCTTCAACGTGGATGGAATATAGTATTTTTAACATAGTTCAAGTTTTCTTCTGAAACGTTAAAAGCTGGCAAAGTCAACCTGCTCCAAATCCTTACAGACTCTTGCTAAGCTCCATAGAGGTGGGTGTTTCATCTGACCTAGTCTCCCTCTCTTGCTGGCACCCAGTACTGTGTCTGGTGAATGGTATATGTACAGTAAGACTTTGTGGGTTTTTTTGGTAGCACTAGGGTTTATGAAGCCTTACCTGAGAAAGTATGGAAAGTTTCATGAATCTGCATGTCATCCTTGAATACGGGCCATGCCATCCTTCTCTGTATCGTTCCAATTTTAGTACATGTGCTGCCAAAGTGAGCCCAAGGCCTTTTTAAAGAGTTTTATGTACCAAATTCACTCATTCTAAGTGCCTAATTCAATGATTTTTTTTAACCAGATTTACTGAGTTGGTACAACCAATACCATAATCCAGTTTTAGAATGTTCCCCAAACTCCAAAAAGTACACTCATGTCCATTTGTAGTTTATTCTCACAACACCCCCAACCCCAGGCAACCAGTGATCTGCTTCCAGTCTCTATAAATTTGCCTATTCTGGAGATTTCCTAGATATGGGATCATATGAAATACGGTTATTTACATGTACCCTCTTTAAGTCAGTATAATGTTTTTGAGGTTTACCCACATTGTAGCATAAATCAGTAGTTTTTTATTTCCTTTTTGTTGTTGAATAGTACTCCCTTCTATGCATATACTATTTTTAATCCATTTATCACTTGCTAGACATTTGAATTGTTTCTATATTTGCTGTGAATATTCACATACACCCCTCATGAACATGATTTCCTGCCCTCTCTTGGGTAGATTCCTAGGAGTGAAATTGCTGAGTTATTTTGGGTTATGTTTAACTTTTTAAGAAACTACCAGACTGTTTCCTGAAGTGACTGTACCATTTTATATTCCCATCAGCAATACATGACCAATTGTCAGTACTGCCTGTTTTTCAGTTTATAGCCATTTTAGTAGGTATACAGAAGCATATCATTTTGGTTTCAATTTGCTTTTCTCTTACAGCTACTGGTGTTGAACATTTAATTCACAATAATTGTTAGCAGTTTTAATATCTTCATAAAACGTCCATTTGAATCTCTCTTTTTTAAGATTTTTAAAAAATGTATTAATTCATGAGAGCCACAGACAGGCAGAGACACAGGCAGAGGGAGACGCAGGCTCCGGAGGGGAACCTGATGCGGGACTCGATCCCAGGACTCTGGGATCATGACCTGAGCCAAAGGCAGATGCTCAACCACCGAACCACCCAGGTGTCCCTCCACTTGAATCTTTTACTCATTTTTATAACACATTTTTTATCTTCTTGTTATTGAGTTATAAGAGTTCTTTATGTATTTTAGATTCTGGTACTTCACAAAATCAATGACTTGCAAATATTTTCTTCCTGTGTGTGACTTGTCTTCCCATTTGCTTAAAAGTGTCTTGTGTAACACAAACATTTTAAATTGTGATAAGGTTCAATCTATCAGTTTTTTATGGATCATGCTTTTGAGGTGATATTTAAGAATTCTTTATTCAAGGTCACAAAGATTTTCTCCAATATTTTCTTGAAGAAATTGTGTGGTTTTAGCCCTTACACTTTTCTATAATCCACTTTGCAAATATTATGCATGGTGTGAGGTAAGCCTCTAAATGGATTTTTTTTTCCACGGGGAATCCAGCTGTCCCAGCACTATTGTTGAAAAAACCATTCTCTCTCCATTGATTGTCTTGGCCTCTTTGTTGAAAATCAATTATCCTTTAACGAAATGGGTTACTTCTGAACTCCCAGTTCTGTTCCATGGATCTGTTAGGTGTATCCTGCCATAATACCAACACTGTCTTTGTTGCTATGATGCTACAGCAAGTTCTGAAATCAGGTAGAGTAATGCCTCCAATTTTGTTCTTCTTTTCAAACTTTGTTTTAGCTATCTAGATCCTACATATTTACATATAAACTTTATAAAAATTTTTGAATTTTTTTATAAAAATGCCTGCTGGTATTTTGATAGGCATTACATTGATTTTATACGCTAATTTGGGGTTAATTGTCCTCTTAACCATATTGGATTTTTTATTCCATTAATTATCAAATTATTTTTTTTAAGATTTTATTTATTTATTCATGAGAAACACACACACAGAATGAGAGAGAGAGGCAGAGACAGAAGCAGGCTCCATGCAAGGGAGCCTGACATGGGACTCGATCCTGTGTCTCCAGGATCAGGCCCTAGCCTGAAGGCGGCGCTAAGCCTCTGAGCCACCCGGGCTGCCCAAGTATCAAATTATTTTGTTAATTTTATTTCAAACTTTATTGCAAATATATAGGAACACTTTTTTGTATACATGTAACTCATAGATTAATTCTAGTATTTTTGTGGATTCCTTGGGATCTTCTACATTCATATCACATCATCTGCTTGAAAAGATGTATATTTTGCAATACACAGAGTAAAGTATTCCAGGTAGAGTGTTCTTAGAACAGAAGAAGTTGAGTTGGTTGAAAGTATAGTACAAGTCTTCCATGTTTGATGATTTATTGTGGAACTGTCCTTTCAATTTTTAAGAGTAGGGTACTGAAATCTCCAACTCTTTAAATTGTCAATGATTTCAATTCTAGTTGGTTTTGCCTCAGGGGTGCATACATTTATAATTGTTGCATATTCCTGATGTATTGGCCTTTTTGCCATTACAAAATGTCCCTCTTTGTCTCTAGAAATAATTCTTATCTCAGACTCAATTCTGTCTGATGTTAAAATCATCATTTCAGATCTTTCATGGTTACTATTTACCTGGAATATCATCCCCATCCTTTACTTTCAACCTATTTCTGTCTTTGACTCCAAAATGTATTCTTGTAGTCAGAATATAGTTGGATTTTGCTTTTTGATCCATTCTGATAACCTCTCCCTTCTGATCAGAGCATTTAGACCTCACATTTAAGGTAATTATTTATATAATTGGATTTATACTTGCCCTTTTGTTCTTTGTTTTCTAGGTTTCCTATATTTTTGGCCCTCTCTTCCTGTTTTAACATATCCTTCAGTATTAAAAATATTATTTTATCATTTAAATTTCTCTGATGATTTTTATCCTAATACTAATTAGTGACTATTTTAAAGATTACAATATATTTTTAATTTACCATAATATACATAGACTAATCCTAGCAAGTCTGGTAAAATATAGAAACTTCAATAAACACGTTCCTTTTCTCCTCATTTGCACTATAATTGTCACATATACTGGACCTAGATATGCTCGAAACCTCACCATCCTGTGCTCTACTGATGGCTTCATATAACCAGGACAGCAATTTGAGGCTACAAGGGACACAGGCCCTCTCACTATCTACCTTATCACTTCTACCGAGCTTAGCGTAGTTATTGGTCACCATTCCAAATCTAATGACACCTCTTCAACTGGGGTAATAACGCTGAATGTTTTCTTGGTCTGCCTGACTCTGCCAAATTCTCCATACAGCCTGAGCTGGGTGTTGGGTGAGATGGAACTGGCATAGCCCCAGGCAAGAAATTATAGACTCTCACTGTTCTTACTTGAAACTCACCAGTGTTTCAAGCATGAAGGATTTGCTGACTGTTGCATGCTTTCAGTTGAGTTCCAGAAATAGTTGCTTTTATCAGTTTTGTCCAGCTTTATAGTCGCCTTTGGAAAGAGGATTTGCTGATTCCCCCTCACACAACCGTGTATCTGAATTCTGTAACTCCAGCTAAACTCTAATCTCTAGGAAGCCGCTACCACGTTTTCCACTTCTTATGCATTCATTAAATAAGGTAAATAACTTTTCCATATTACATAATGTTTTGAGATGGAAAGGACTTAATGCATTCTAGCCACATTTGAGACAGTATTGCATGGATATATGGTGGGAAGACTCACAAAATAAACATTGTCAGCATCGTCCTCTCCTGAAAGAGAGAACTGTCTGACAAGCTTCACTGACTAAGTTTGGACAAGGCTCAGGCAACAAGAGCCATGGATACCAATTCAGTGCTCCAGAATTTACTCCTTTTAAAGACAGGAAAAAAGAAAATAAACTTTAATTCCTATAAAAATGGAACTCCGTTATTTTTAAGGGAACTTCTGTACAGGAGAAAACATAGAAATATTTTTCTCAAGTATATTGAAGAGAACTTTTCTAAGGCAATAGTTAAGAAAGAAGACTATAATTATGTTTCTGTCATGTTTTATATTAAGGTATGTCTGAGGCTTGGGAATGGGTTAGAGGGCCTTTTAAAAGTCCCTCCTAAGTATCTGTAAATCTTGATTTATGGACCCCTCTACCACATTTATATCTATAGTGGTATCTTCTGGGTGAAAGCACAGAAGATTTATCAGTTTTCAACATACAAGAACCTCACACATTTGTCTCTCAAGTGTCATGACAGTGGGACTTTCACAAGGCCTAAAAGCTTGGCACAGACTTTAAATTGTGTTTTTATTTTTATACCTTTCCTATATTGAAAGACAAATAGTACAGAGAAAAGCTAACTCTGTAAGAGAGAGAACACAGCTGATACCCAGAGTGGGCCACCCAGAATGCAACAGGATTAATGACAACTTGGCCTGACAGCATCCTGACCACAAAAGATGAAGTCACCCTAGGAAGTGTTTTGTAGAAGAAAATAAAATCAACAGAACGAAAAAGAGAAGAAAAAGTTATGAAGTCTGAAATATACATTGTTCAAGTATTTTCCCCCATTAATTTTGGAAGCCCTTGCATGTTTTCAGGGAAATTTAATCTGCACATTTCTGAGCCATTTACACTTAACTCACCACAATGTTGTTTTGTAAGAGTCATTTGTTGTCCAAGAAGCCCTCTGAACCTTGTTCATAAAGATTTTTATTAAAGCGATTGTTTTCTTTTTCCTTAAAATGAAATTATGCATTTCCAGATCGAAAGGAACATTGAAGTGAACCCTAAATTCAAAACTTGTGAGGCACAAGACAGATCCAGTTTTGATCAAAGTGTATTCCCATACAGATTTCCAGTCCAAGGTGTTTGGGTTTTGGCAGCATCACAGTAAAGGGTTCAGTTGAAAAGACACAGGTTTATTACTCCTTGGATAGTCAAAGAGAACCCTCTGAGGCATTTTTAAAAAGCAAAGCTTTTCAGGAGCTCAGCCAATCTAACAATCAACTTTGCTTTAGAATCCATCCTGGACAAAGCTTAAACTTGAGTGCAGGAGGTGAGACACTGGAAGTACTAGAAATGTTTCATGAGCTAAAAGACTTGTAGTCTAACCTGTAAAATGAGAGCAAAAATACCTTCTACCTCAGAGGATTGCAAT